AGGACGCGAACCGCGGTCAACTACGTGGGAGTCCAGCGACACAGCCATTATGCTAACCGCTAGTTCCCCAAAACATCTTTTTTAAAGTTTATATCGTTTTTTAAAGTTTGTGCTGTTTTTCAAAAAAATGGTTTAATACAGATTTCAAATGTACATTATGATAAATAATAACATATATGAAATATTCTTTATGCATTCAACTTTTGCATTTTTCTCTATTTTAAGTTAACTCATTCTCTTTTTCTCCATACTTCTCTATTACTTTTACCTCACCTTTTCTAGTGTAGCTATATGTTAAAAATGTGACAGACTCCTCCCACCCCTAGTAGTATAGGATGATTATTATTATTATTATTTTGGAGAGGTTTTTGCCATAGGGCACGTGCGCTCGCCAGACAGACAGAGACAGACAGAGAGACAGAAAGCGAGAAATCACCCCCCCAGGGGGGATGGCCATGCCACAATCCCTTCTCCTCCATTCTCCTCTCGGGATCTTGGGCATACATGCACATGCACCCGGTGTGAGTTTTAAGCCACCAGGTCTGGGATGCGAACCGCGGTTGACTACATGGGAGTCCAGCGACATAGCCATGACGCTAACTGCTGGTCCCTAGGATGATTATTTACTCTTATGCAAGCTAGGATAGTTGCCAGTAGACTTTTTTTTTTTTTTTTAAAGTTTTTCCATAGCATGTTTCCTTGCTGGAAAGAGACAGATAGAGGGAAAGTGAGAAATCAACCCTTGGGATTGCCATGCTAGAATCCCTTCTTATCCATTCTTCTCTTGGGATTTTGAACATACACACAAACATGCCTGGCATGTTTTTCAAACTGCTGAGTCCAGGATTCAAAATGTGGAATTGGCCAGGTGGAATCCAGTGCCCTAAACCACCATGCCACCTGCTGGCCTTAAACTTAAAAAAAATCCTTTAACTTTATACCAACATTTAGATATTATCTGTAAACTTCCTTCCCCTTCACTCTCAGTATGCTGTTAGCTGCCCATCCTTCTGGTTAGAAATGTGGTATTTTACTTGTCAATTTTTGGATGTATGTGTTGATATGAAGAAGGTATATATGTGCATATGTGTTTAATCATCCTAGGTTGCTAAAGTATATTTTTCAGTAAAAATTTATATTTCCTCCATGAGTGAGGGACAGAGAGAGAGATTCAACACAGTCTTTATCCCACGATCCACTTGGTGCCTTCAGTCAGTCCTGGATTGTGAGCAGGTGCATGAAAGCATACTCAGGTCTCCAGATTTGAACCAGGAACTATCCCATGTGGGATTGCCTTGCAGAGCATAGTGTTTTACAGCTCCATGGACCTAATGTTTCTAAGGCAGCATTTCTCCAAGTCTGGAGAAGATTCACCAGCAAAGATGCCGTCTGCAGAAAATTGGTTCACTTTGGCCAGGACTGCATACAGTAGTGCTTTCCAGAGAATCATATGAAAAACTGATGTCTGACAGGAAAGAAACTTGTTTACTTGTGTCTGCCTAGCATTTATCAAACTTACTTGGCCACGGAAGCCTTCTTTCCTTGTTAAGAAATTCCTTAAATGACTCTGGTGAATGCTTCTGTTAAAAAAAAATTAAAAATCAGTAACAGAGCCAGGAGGTGTCATGGAGGTTAAGGCATTGACTCCTACATGGCTGATTTTGTGGTTTGTAAAAAAAAAAAATTCTTACATTTTTTTTGAGAGATTTTTGCTATAGGGCGCGTGCGCTCGCCAGACAGACAGAGAGAGACATAGAGACAGAAAGCGAGAAATCACCCCCCAGGGGTGATGGCCATGCCGCAATCCCTTCTCCTCCATTCTCCTCTTGGGAACTTGGGCACGCACGCACACACGCCCGGCGTGAGTTTTAAGCCACCCGGTCCGGGACTTGAACCGCGGTCGACTACGTGGGAGTCCAGCGACATAGCCATTATGCTAACTGCTGGTTCCATAAACATTTAAAAAAATAATTGTTTAATTTTTATTATTTTAATTTGACCTGAGAGAGACAGAGTGAAAGTGAGAAAGCACACTGTCAGGTCCAGGACCTGAGCTGTGGTCAGCCACATGGGAGTCAAGTCTTAAACACTATGCCACTTGCCAGCCCAAGAAAAAAAAATTTTTTTTTTTTTTTGGAGAGGTTTTTTTTTTTTTTTTTTTTTTTTATAACGCACGCACGCACACGCGCCCGGTGTGAGTTTTCAGCCACCGGGTCCGGGACGCAAACCGCGGTCGACTATGTGGGAGTCCAGCGACATAGCCATTACGCTAACTACTGGTTCCCAAGAAAATAAAAATTTTTTAAGTGTTAAATTACAGAAAAAAATAAGAGGGCCAGCAAGTGGCATGGTGGTTAAGGTGCTGGACTCCCATGTGACCAACTGCAGTCCTGGACCTGTCATCCACTCAGATTCCCAAGTAGGGCCCTCCCTGGCTACTTGGCTTGCTTCCTCACTTTCTCTGCCTCTCTCTAGCACATGTGCCCTGTATCAAATTTAAAATAATAAATAAAATAATTCTAAAGAAAGAAAAATACTCAAGGCATGTGTGCATGCGTGCCCAAAATCCCAAGAAGAGAATGGGTGAGAATGGATTGCCATTACGCTAACTGCTGGTCCTCCTGTGAATTTATTTACTGTGATGCTGGAGGGGTGAGCTCTTTCACTTAACAACTCATACAACTTATTTATTTTAGAGATTTTTTTGCTATAGGGCACTTTCCAGAGAGACACAGAGACAGAAAGCAAGAAATCACCCTCTGGGGGGAGATGACCACACCACAGTACTTTCTCCTCCATTCTCCTCTTTGGATCTTGGGCACGCATGCACATGTGCTCAGTATGTTTCAAGTTGCCAGGTCCAGGACTTGAGCTGTTGTCAGCCATGTGAGAGTCCAGCGCCTTAATCACTATGTCACCTGCTGGCCCCAAGTCATTTAAAATTTTTTTTTAGTTTTTGCCTTAGGGTGCATGCACTCACCAGAGAGAAAGTAAGAGGGAAGGTGAGAAATCACCTCCCTGGGGCGGTGACCACATTGCAGTTCCTTCTGTTCTCCTCTTGGGATCTCAGGCATGCATGCACACACATGTGCCCAGTGTGATTTTATTAAGAATTGATTTAAATTTAATTAATTTATTTATTATTTGACCAGCGAGGGACGTGGGGGTGAGAAAGCAAGCTACCAGGTCCAGGACTCAAACTACAACCAGCCATGTGTGAGACCAGTGCCCCTTAGCCATCATGCCACCTGCCAGCCCCACCTAGCGTGATTTTTAAGCCACAGGTTCTGAAATCCAAAGTGCAGCCAGCCACGTGGGAGTCCATCCGGCAATATAACTGCTGGCTCAAGTTGTTTTTTTTAATTTGCCAGAAGATGTGTGTACTTGCCAGACACAGACAAACAGAGGGAAAGTGAGAAGGCACCTTCAACAGGGCATAGTCATGCCATCATCCCTTCTTCATTTTTCTATTCTGTTGGGATCTTGGGCATGCACACACATGTGCTGGTATGCACACACATATGCCAGCATGCTTGTATGTTTTTCAAGCTGCTGGGGCTGGGATTAAAACCATGCAGTTGGTCACATGGGACCCTGCTCCTTTAACCCCGAGGCCACTGAGCTGGCCCATGTGACTTAAGTTCTGTGAATGGCACTAGTGGTCTGAACTCAAATACTCAAGAGAATTCACAAAAACCTGTTTTTTATTTTTTTTTTTTAGACTTTTTTGCCATAGGGTGCATGCACTCAACAGAGACAGAGAGAGGGAAAGTGAGAAATCACTCATTACAGATGGCCATGCCCTAGTCCCTTCTGCATTCTCTTCTAGGGATTTTGGGCATGTACCACATGTGCCCAGTGTTTTTTTCAAGCCGCAGGGTCTGGGATTAGAACTGTGATTGGCCATGTGGGAGCCTAGTGCCTTACCTGCCACGCCACCTGCTTGGCCTGATGAAAACCAATGTTTAATAGTCTTAAAATACATTTAGTCTCAACACAGAATTTTTCATTTAAACAAGTTTATTTTAGCAGCTCAGTTTTATTACATTCTACATATTTGTCATTTAATATGTTTATATTTCTCTCTGTTCTGCATAGATGGCATATTCATTAGCGTCTATAGTTGTGTGACTGTCGTTTGCTACTTGCTGCTACCTGGCCTGAAGAAAGCTGGGAGGGTAAGGAAAACTCTTGGTGGGGACATGGAGTAGCATTTAATGTCTCAGCAGAACTTTACTTTGATGCCAACTCCAACTTCAGTGTCATGTTTTTTCTTCTTCTTTTTCAAATCCTGAACAGACGACAGATCTTCCTTTGGAATACTGAGCACAACACTTACGCAGCTCTCGGATGACAGCCTGACACTTTGATTCTTTGTAGTTGTTGGCTGAAAAACAGGCAGACCTAGTTAGGAAGGATCCCATGGGACTAAGGTACAGGGAAGTTTAAATCAGTGCTTCCCAGCCTGTTTTACTTTGTGTACCTGTCAACAGGTCTCTAATTAGGAAGAAAAATATGATTTATAGAGTGGCCAACATTATTACTTCCTTTAAGTTCAAGTTATGGGAACCAGCAGTTAGCGTAATGGCTATGTCGCTGGACTCCCACGTAGTCGACCACGGTTCGTGTTCCGGACCCGGTGGCTTAAAACTCACGCCGGG